GCATCTTAAAATACAAGCTCAACATTATGAGCTTGATGTTCCTTTTCATCCCGAATTGAGAAATCTATCAACAATTTCTGAGCTATGTCAAGGATTGGTGAAAACAAGAAAATATTTGAATTATCCTTTGATTAATCATTTAATACGTTTGATATTAACTCTTCCTGTTTCAACTGCTACAACTGAAATGTCATTTTCAACTATGAAGATTGTGAAAAATAGTCTCAAAAATAAGATGGAAGATGAATTTCTAGCTGATTGTTTGATTACCTATATTAAGAGAAGGATTGCTGAGAAGTTTGATACAAATTCTATTATTGATGAATTTTATGCTATGAAAGAAAGACGTGCACAACTTAAATAAAAGGTATGATATGTTTAACTTTTATTTAATATTTATTATCAAAGTTTACATTTTTCCCCCTGTTTAAATTATTTTTGGATCCGTCCCTGGTGACAAGAAATTTCTAGGACTGGTTTGGAGGAAATAATATGTTTCTTTCCTATTTTGAGTGATCCAACACCGATTTACATTTAATTATTGATTCTCGATGTCCTTCAATTAAGCTAAATTGGATTCCCGCAAGTGTTAATTTACGTGATTCAAAATTTTCATTTGTAATGTTCCACAAGTGGGCTATAAAAACAAACTTGGGCTTCCGAGAAGAGTGAAGCTCGACTGCATTAATTTGGGTCTTTATTTCTATCAAATTGGCTCATCTCAAATTACTTTTCTCCAACAAAAAAAAAGAAATATGCATTATGGATGTATGCATGTATGTTTTTATACTAAAACTAAGCAAAATGTAACAAATTAAGAAAATTTGAATTATGTTATGTTTTTTATGAAAACATACTAGATGCATGATTTATAAAAAAAATAATTAGCTTATAAAATACTTTTAGATGAATAAATAAAGAGTAAAAACCCCTCCCCCATTCCTACGACACATTTTTCTGGACCACCAATTTCCATTCCCAGACCACCTACATATATTTTTTTTATTAAGACTTTAGCCCTTTATCATCACAACCAATAACTCAATTTTCACCTAGTCTCGGATTTACCAATAGCCCTCCTATAGCATCATCTCGTATGCATCGATTTCTTGAGATTGGAACTTTATACCTTGATGGTCAAAGATGGATTTGTCCAGGACCATCGAGCACTTAAGCAAACTTAAACCTTTAAAATGTTCAATTTCATTTGTTGTTTAGGTATTTAAATTTAATTTCATCAAAAGTTTTATTTTACAGGTTTGATCCCCAGATTCAACCCACACGTGACATAATATAGATATTAAAGGGGAATTTTAAAGGAAAATGGGAAACATATGAGGAAGTTGATAGTGAATCTCTAGATGTGGTCAGGATGTGGTGGGAAGAATTTACGGTATATATTTGTTTTATTTTTAGTTTTATTATAATTTTATACTTGTCAAATATTATTGAGAAATAACTTTGTTATGTAGAGGAAGTACAAGTGATTGCCAGAACATGACACCCAAATTCGATATACATATGAACATAAAGCACCTGAAGGGTATTCAAATGCTATGTACAGGGTGGAACATGAGGTTGATGCCGAAGATTGGATTCCAACAACAATGTGAGAACAATTACATCAACAATGACATAATAAAAATTGGCAAGATATAACAAAAACTAATGGTCAAAATAGGAATGCTTCTGATGTTTTAAATGTTTGGTATGTAATGTTAATTATTTTCATATTTGTTAATTACATTATTTTCATTTATTTAATTCCTACATTCTAATGTTATATATCTTGTTAGCAACAACTACAAATACAACTCCAACTTGTTGGGACTTATTCAAGAAGACCCATAAAACTGTTAAGGGACATGCATGTGGTGTCTTCTAGGGCAAAAGAATTATTGTAAGTTTTTTAATATATTTTTGTTCATTTATTATTTCACATGTGTTAAACATCACACTGTTTTCTTTTTTTTTTAACGATGAATATGAAAAATGTCTTCCCAAGAGAGTTTTAGAGGAATCTGATGATGTAAAATCTAGTCACCTGATGATATCTTTTATAGTGTTGTTTGATGTATTGATAAAAGAAGACGAGTTTACGGGTTAGGATTTGTGTCAGACAGACATAAAATTTTGTCTTCTTCATTATCAAATCGTATAACATCATTAGAACATGACAAGATGAAAACGTAGGTTACCAACCTATCTGAAGAAAATAAAAATCTGAAAAAAATGATAATGACTTCTCAATAAAAGTCATGTTTGTTCCAAGAACAAATAACTTAGTTTATGATGTAATTTCAACCACAACTTATACAACAATCCAATTTCCACCAGCAATCTAATTTATCCCTCCAATCCAAACTCCACAAGTCTGACCTCATGCACGAGTTCAAGAAGATGAAGAAGAATCAAATAATAGAGATCATAGATTCATTTTCAATTTTAGTTATGTATTGACACTATATTATTTAATTAACACACTTTTAAACAATTAAGTGTCTCATCGTTCGCTTAAGCAACTCTCATTTAAATATAAAAATACTACAAATTCATCACTTATGCGAAAAATACATTCACTCGAGCAAAATTCGTTTAAGTCACTATTATTTGTTTTAGTGACTTTCAATTAAACGGCATCACAATGATTTAAGTGAAAGTCACTCCACATCCATATTTAAGCGGTACACGCTTAAATGATGTACAACACACTTGAAACAAATAACAACCGTGAATACAACATCTACTTGAATTTATGGTTAAGCGGATTTTATTTGAATATCCACTTTTATTTTAAGCGGTTGGATACTCAGTTAATCAACAACAATCAAATTGAATTCTATGACGAAAAAAGGTTTGTGACAGATTTTAATAAATTTGTGATGTTGTTCATCATGTCGTTACACAGTTTGTGACGATATTTCTATAATTTTGTGAAGAATTCTTGTCATCAGAGTCATCTTAACTGAAAGGAATATATATATATATATATATATATATATATATATATATATATATATATATATATATATATATATATATATAAATAAAGGGAGTTGATGAATTATATATATTATACATTAAAAATCTTCAAGTTATCTGATTATCTTATATTTTTATTCTTCTAAGGTTGCCTTAATTATTCTCGTCACGTTGTCCAAATATAGGATACGTTTGCGTGAAATATGGTTCTTACGAGTCACCAATTGCGTTAATATTTGGTTTGTTCGTATAAATTGAAAGTAACTTTTCCGAAAAGTAAGAGGATAAGGAAGAATCTCTATCATATGGTATACATGAATTTTATTATTCATATATACTTGTCTGAAAGAGAATAGTTACACTGACCACGATAAAGATTTTTCTTATTATTATTATTATTATTATTATTATTATTATTATTATTATTATTATTATTATTATTATTATTATTATTATTATTAATGGACCGACTACTTATCAAACTATTTTATCCTCCTGTATGTTAATAATTAGAACTCTTTTTTTTTTCTTAATGACACTTAAAACTCTTGTTAATGCAGGACAAATGTTGGTATAAAAATAGTATTTTATAAACGATTCTAATTTACTTGTCATAATAAATTGGACGGTGGTAATTTTGTAATTAAAATTTATTTTTATGTCAGTTTAAAATTGAATCGTTATAATAAGTAAATTCTATATCAGTTCAATTTTGAACCATTATAATAAGTGCTCTATAAATTAAAATTTAGATATTTCTTATGTTGGTTCAAGTATTTATTATAACGATTCAACTTTAAACCGACGTAGAAAGTGACTTTGTTAATTTTAAATATGAGATATTTTTTATATCAATTAAAATTAAATCATCATAATAAGTATTTCTTATGACGATTTAAAATTAAATTGACATAGAAAGTTCTTATTATGACGATTCAATTTGAACCTTCATAAAAGTACTTAAGTTTAAAATATTTAGTTTCGTTTTATTCTTTTTATCTTTATCATTTTTTTATTTTTTTCATTGTAGGAAGAACTCTTCTCAACTTTTTTCATTGTCTCAGTCATCACATTCATTTACTTTTGTTTTCCTCATGTTTGAATCACCACTTCCCACAATTTTGCTTCTCCCTTATTTACAACAAAGATAAAATATGAAAACATTATCTCATCTTTCTATATTAGTTTATGTTTCCTAATTTAGTTTAATAGAATTATTTAATATATTATATTGTAATTATTATTATAATTTTTTTATGAATAATTTTTCATCTAATTTAAGTGAATATATTTATATTGTATTTTTGTATTTAGATAATACTTAGGTTTAATTTTTAAAGTTTGTTACGTTAAAATTTTTTGATAAAATATTTGTAAGAAATATTATTATATAAAAAATATTTAATATAAAACAAAAAATCTAAAATAAAAAAAAGGTCTTTTTTGAGAAGTGAACATAAGTTAAATTAAGCAATTTATATTCAATTTTCGTTATGTCTGTCTTTGTCTTTCACCGATCTTCATTAAAGTTTTATAAAATTAACTTTAGGCTGTAATTACCATCAGTTGTCAGATCCCATGCATGCATGAACGTCAGAACGATAAGAAATTAAGTTGAATCAGACAACAAAACATGAAAGCACTTACAACAAGTTGTTATTTTATCAGCAGCAAACAAGGCCGCGCGTTGATACATATTCCCCAGGACTTCACAGTCCACGTGGCACAAAGTTAGTCTCTTTGTACCGATAACTAACTATGATAACATCCTTCAAACAACTAATCCTATTGAAAGCATTATTTTTTCCGCACACAAAGTTAAGGAAGAAAACTCTGATCAGATACTTGAGAAACAAAGTTATCTGTCATGATTTGTAATCCATCTTCAACCTTAGGTGTGTGGGCACGGAGGGTACATGAAAACACAAACACAAACTATATTATATAACATAGGATCTCACAACACAGATATATATAAGAGAGTGATTGATCATTTGATGAACTAAATGATGGATGACTTATTTTCCAAACCCGCGAGAACGAAGATACTCAATGAGATCGTCGATTTCCTGGCCACTAATTTGACCGTCGTTGTTGGCATCAAATTTTTCGAGAGCACGGTTGGCTCTCCAACCAGGGAAGAAGGCACCCAATTCTCTGAGAGCATGCTTGAGTTCATCCTTGTTGTAGCAACCATCTTTATCTCTGTCTGCTTCTTTTAACTTTTCCATTATTTTCTGCATCATGAGATTATTAGGAACGTCCTTATGTGAATCCTTCCCGGGTTTCGATGGGTTGGAACGATGGAGTTGTCCATTGTGATAGATTACCATTTTGGTATAACTATGCGTATTTTGATCTCTCTCAAAAGAGTGGAAGGGGGATGAGTGAGTATGGTCTCACAAGTGCCACAAAGAGGGTGTTATATAGAGGTCACTGTGTTATCGATCGGGTGAGAATATTTTTTTTTTTAATCAATTGCACTCTCTCTTTCTAACTCTTTCACAAGTGTTCAAGAATAAAGTTGTACTATGAGGACCTCTTTAAAGAGGTTCCTTGATGTTGGTTCCCAAACAGGCTATGATTTTTTAGATTTTGTTAGCATAGAAGAGAGAAATAAAAGAAATATAGGTTGGTAAAGGAAAATGATTAAAAACTTATTTTTCATTTTCATCATTTTTTAATTTATTAATATAAAATAATAATTAATTTTAATTAAAAATAATAATTAATTTTAATTAGATATTGAAATAAAATATGATTAGAAACTTATTTTGATATTTATTTTTAAAATAAATAAATTATTTGTGAAATTAATTTATAATACATATATATTTTAATAAAATAATATTTTTTTATTTAAAAAGTTATTATTATTTTATAAAACATGTCTTCCAACCAGTTTTTGAACTATATTTTGTCTAAACTCATATATATCATCATCATCATCCAAAAAAGATATATCAAAATAGATCTTATTTAATTTAAATTATAATTTTTATTGTTTAATTTAATATATTTTTCAATCTTTTCAAATCAATATAATAGGATAAACCTCTTTTAATATCCTCTAGATAAAATATTAATATATAATTTTTCTGATAGCTTAAAATATCTGATAGTTAAGTTTGAGAATAACTTCATATATATATATATATATATATATATATATATATATATATATATATATATATATATATATATATATATATATATATAAATTTCTTTTAATTCACAATATATTTGAAAAAAAAAGGCTCAATAATATATTCAATGAGGTAATTAAGTTTATCTATATTATTTTAAAATATCTGAGAACAAACATTAATATCATTTAAAGTTTTTTTTTTGGCATATGAAACGTCTTTTCAGAAATTTTATGGTCCTCCAATAAAATTTTCTGGATTTCTTATACTTAAATTTTAGGGTTTTATGTTCATAAAAATGGAAAATCAATAAGGAAACCACGATTTTACACTTAATTATCATTTTCAATAAAAAAATTGATAAAGCTCTTTAGTTAAGCCATAATGATGAAAAAAATACTTCGGAACGAGAGAGTACAATCAATCATGTATATCTTTTTGCATGCTAAGTCAAAGAAAGAATCACGAGGTTGATAGACTCATTTAAAGTAATATTAAGTAAAAAAAATATTTATTCACGAAAGATATATAAACGCCATGAAAACAATTTTATAGATTGAAGAATCAATTATTTCGAAAAAATATAAAATAAGACAGTAGAATTTCTCGTAATTCATATATACTTTTAAAATTTTAATATTAAATTCATTAATACAAAATTATAACGTGTAAGTTTGTTTTGCTGCGAAAATCGAAAAAATTAATCAAGAAATAATCATTGTAATAATAGACAACAATTATTCTATCTTATCTTTCACAGTATCTCCGTGAAATCAACCCTAAGAACTGACACCAGAAAAATATGTTAGAAAATTTATTTTTCATTAATTTGAATTTAATTAGTTATGAAATAATGAAGAAATAAAATTGCACTTAATATATAGTAAAATAACTAAAAGATAATATTTTTGTAATTATTCCTTCACTAAGTAGAAAAATAATTTAGTTAAATTTTTTTATCACTAATCCCTAACTATAAATATTAACTATGTTATTTTTTGAAGCTATTTTTTAGTTAAATTATATAACATATAATTATAGTTAAATTATAGAAAATTTATAGAAAAAAATAATTATAAAATTATTTAAAAATTATTTTTACCAAATTTACTATAAATATATTAATTATATATATATAAATTATTTTCTGTGCCTGAAATAAATTATTTGAAAATAATTATAAATTTTTTTGAAAAAATATCTAAAAAAATTGATAAATATTTAAAATTATTTTTTGCAAATTTTTTATAAATTTAAATTGGTAGGAAGTATTTAATAATTTAAATTAATAGAAAATTTTATAAATAACTTTTTTTAGAAATTAATCTTTATAAAAAGTGTTATTATATTAAAATATTTATTTAATTAAATATTATTTTAAATGTAAACATCTTTAATATAATAATAAAAAAAATTTAAATTTAAATTTTTTTAATAAAAATATTAAATTATTTTTTTTCCCAAAATTCCCTTCCCGCTCGAACTACGTCTCCTTCTTTCATTTTCAAGTAAGACCTAAATTGTATCTCCTACTTTCATTTTCAACTAAGATCTAAATTGTATTTGTTTTCATTACCACTCTCATTGTCGTCGCTCCTGCTACCTGCTGTTGCGCCGTTGTCGTTGCCCTACTGCGCCGCTGCCAGTACAGGAATCAATTGGTTGAATTTCTTCAGAATATGATACAAAATGAGGTTTGTGTCTATGATTCTCTTTCTAATTAGGTCATTTATCTCTGCTAATGATGCATAAATATGACATTTATTTTCTGATATTTGTGTATATTATATCCCTATGCAAACTGGGTTAGTTGTTATATGTATGAGTGCATGTTATATTATGAGTATATGTTTGGAACCTCTGCATTATGTGGGTGCAAGCCAGGATAATGGGAAGGGACAACCGAGAATTGGGCACTTGGATATTCCTACTTGGATACATGAGAAAATAGGGTGCAACGAGTTAATAACCCATAAGTAGAGCTAAACTTAATTATTAGTTATTTATCTTTATATTACTAAATCATAATAATTTATACATTGAGAATTTTAAATTGTAGGAGGAGGTTTGTTCCTGATTCGAGTAACTTCGAGATATTATATCCGAGTTACTTATGAGAATGCCAAATCCAGCACCAAATTGGAAAAATTATTTTGTTGATATGAAAGAAAATTTATTCAATGATTTCATGGTTAGTAATTATTGTGTTAAAATACTTAAATAGTTTTGCTTTAACTTTTGTATTAAATAATAAATTTATCTAATTTTTATTGGTATAGAACAAGTATCGTTTTGCATCAACTTATGATTAGAGTATGGCAAGAAAAATTTGGAATCGACATGCATGGATCGATATTATGACTCTTTAGCTAAGGTAAGGAAAAAGGCAAAAGAGAAGTCAAATTCAGATAATATTGAAGACTTAAAGGATTTTGGACCAAGAAGTACAATGACAGAGATGTGGGGTGGATTTAGACATATGGGCAACGGAAGAATGGAAAAAGAAGTCCATTGCAGGTAAGGCCAATAGGGCTACCAAGCCTGATGCCATGATGCACACAAGAGGATCAAGAAGCTTTGGACAACACTTGAAAAAAATAGTATTCATACATTATACATTTAATACATTGATCATATAATTGTTAATCAATATTGATTATTAGTTATAAATTGAATATTAGGTTTGATGTTGGTATATTGATGTCTGAATCTTGAATTGTAAATTATTTCACAGGAAGAAGAGCACAAATGTCCTATTTCTTATGGTGAATTATATAGCAAAGTTTATAAAAAGAAAGATGGTGAATATGTGTCTAACAAAGCAAAAAATTTCATTGTAAATGTGTATATTTTATAAATATTAAATTTTGTTTATTTATAATATTGCTAAAATATTGATTTGATGTAAGAATCATATGAAAATGCTATGATTGAAAAATATGGGGAAGATACATCAAATCATCCTATAGTTGATTCTGTTATTTGGATAAAGATTGCTTGGTGAAAATAAAAAAAGGTAGAATTTATGGTATAGGTCGAGTTTGGATCTTGGTATTTCACATGTTTCATCTGCATCGGTTGAAGGTCCCTCTTCCCAAAATCTTACCACACCTCTCACTGAAGAAATCACTACCTTAGCTACACGAGATATCTAGTTTGCAAGAGCGAGATGAAAACATAGTTGCGAGCACAAAGCTGATATGCAAGCATTGATGTAATCACAAAAGAAGACACAGGCAGAAATGCAAACACTCATGCAACAACAAATGCAAGAATAAATACAGTCTTTCAAAAAAGATTTATTATCTGCCTTAAAGAAACAATGATAAAAACGTACTTTAAACTTTTTTTCTATTTTTAATTGTGTTATACAAAACTTTTTAGTTGAAATATTATTTTTGTTATGTTTTAATTGTTTGAAACATCATTTTAACTATGTTTAAACAATACTTTTATATTGAAAGTTAATAAGTTTGTCTTCTTTTTTTAAGAATATGAGTAATAATTTAAATGCTAAACATTTGATATTATAATGTTATGATGATACATTAGCAGAAATATTTATTACGCCAATAAAATTGTGAGAGATTAGCTATAAATTAGTGAGAGATTAACTACCGATTAGCTAGATATTAGCTACGGACTAGCGAGAAAAGAATTTTGATAAAAATTGTGAGGGATTAACTATGAAATAGCGAGAGAAACATTGCGAAGGATTAGAGAGAAAATAATTGCGAGGAATTAACCACATATTAGCTAGAGATAAATTGTCAAGGATTAGCTACAGATTAGCGAGAGAAAAATTGTGAGGGATTAACTACGAATTAGCGATAGTGAAATTGCGAGGGATTAGCTACAGATTAGCGAGAGAAAAATTGCAAGGGATTAGCTACAAATTAGCGAGAGTGAAATTGCAAGGGATTAGCGAGAGATTAGCTACGGATTGACAAGAGAAAAATTGCGAAGGATTAACTACAAATTAGCTACAAGTTTTAGGAGATCAAATTAGCTAGAGATAAACAAAATTTCATCATTTAAATTAGCGAGGGATTTAGCGACAGTTTAGCGATAAAATTTGCTACAAATTTGAGAGAGAATACATCTGTATCTAATTAGTTACTTGGATTTAGCTACGGACTATTTCATAGCTATTCCGTAGCTAATCTGTAGCAAAATATATCAGCGAG